ATGACCTTGAGTTAAGTCCTTGAGTCTTGGAATTCTTCCTGTTTTGAAATTATAGCATTTGGCAGAGACATGCTCAATAGCTGCCAATCAGCAGGAGCTCTCTTCAAGGAAACTTTCAAGGAACAAAGCTAAATCCATAGCCTGATGGAGAAGACATGTGCTTGCACTGTAAATAAAACACAAAGCAAGAGCAAATGTTTAACCCAGCAGTTAAGTTGCCAGTCACACATCAGACTACCTAGGTTCAATATGCAGCTCCGAGATACTGACTCCAGCTTCCTGTCAGTGCAGCCCTTGGGAGACAGTGATGATAGCTCAAGTAGTTGGGTCCCTGTCACCCATGTGAGAGACCTAGTTTGAGTTCTTGAATGCCAGTTTCAACCTATCCCAACTCTAGCTGTTTCAGGTGATAGGGGAGTGAACTACCCAAGGGAAGCTCTCTCAATCTGTCTGTCTCTCTCAGTTTAATTTTCTCTGTCTCTCTGTTCCCCAAATAAGTACATAATTTTAAGAACCCATGAGCGGAGTGATAAGAATTACAATTAACAATAGGAGGCACAGGGTGAGAAGGCTCATTTTCAGATACAGGTTATGAAAATTTTCAGGTTGCTGATACTTATCATTGCCCATGCAGCAATGCAATACAAGTAGCCTACATGAATCAGCGAGTGCTTTCTCTGTAACAGCCACCATGCTAGACATATGTCTGTATTGTCTCTCATCCTCCTAACACCCTCCAAGGGGTGGTCAGTACCATCCTTGTCTCACAGGAGAAGTGGTCAGGAGAGGATACACAGAACATATCACACAAAAGCTGGACTTTTCAGGGAGTTTGGATTTGAAAAGCTTACAATTCAAGAACAGAGATTGTGAGGCAGAGGAAGGAAACTAATGTGCATGGGTACTAACGTGTCTAACTGGGGAAATCTGGGCTTCTCAGGAGCAGAAAACCATAGGAACACAAGTGGCTGAAGCTTTAGGAGAAAGAAAATTGGATGATGGGGAAGAGACATTGAAAGCTGAGACTTGTAGAGCCACATGGAGGCAGACTGTCAGTTCAGATTTTTTCCCAATAAGAGGAAATCAGAGTCTAGGACATGGAGAGGCACTCACATTTTTCTGGGTGTGTGCAGACACTGCTCAGCTGTCTCCTCTAATCCTCAGAACATAAGCAACTTGTCTATGGATATAGGTCTGTCTGTCCCACTCTGAGTTGTACTGATATATAAATTAATAAACATATGGTACTTTGGATTTGGATAGATTTTTCTTGGGGTGGGTGGATGACTAATGATTTTCTAAAATAAATTTGACTAATTTACAACTTATATGAGGGTTTTTCAAAAGTTCTTGGACAATTAAATTAAAAGTAAGTTTATTTTGGTGCAAAAAGTTTTTGCAATTCATTCATACAAAGGGTCTTCAAAAAGTTTGGGGAAACTGCACATTATGAAAAAAAAAACTGTGGATTTCACAATTTTTGCATAAAAATAAATTGCCTTTTAATTCCATTTTTCACAAACTTTTTGAAGTCTGTGTGTATACAGAGCCAGCCTTCCCACAGTTGTAAAATGAAAGTCAAGTGGCCCTAAGCAAGCCCTTTTCTTTCCTTTATCAATATCCCTAGAATCTCATGTTCCTTCTGGCTTTGATATTTGTGCTTCCTCCTCCATCCATTGACAAGAGAAGAAAAAAACAAAACAAAACAAAACACAACTTTCAAAGGATGAGGGGGAGAGACAAATACCCACATGGACTTCTGCCTCCAAGGTTTCCCCTCTTATACACTTGGGAGACACCCAGCTTGGCTCTGAGTTGGTGGGAAGACCTCAGGCAGCATAAGGGAAACTTTTAGGCTTAGAGCTGTTTTTTCCCTTTGGGTGGATCCCCCCAGAGAGATGGGGAAGAGAGAAGCCAGTGGGGCCAGGGACCTGGCTAGCTGCCGTGGATTCTTCCCCCTTTGGGAAATGGAGGCTTCCCAAAGTATGAAACAAAACCCACATACAAGCCAGAGAGAGGCTCCAGCATCCCACATCTCTGCTTTGGGCTAGGATGAATGCCACCCCCTGAAAAGACTGGCTTCTGCAATTAACCCTGAATAAACAGCCAATTAAAACCTCTCCCCTACCCCTGCCCTACCCTGTCTCTTCCTATCATGAAACCTTCTCATCCCAGAGCAATGGGGCAGAGGTGGCTTTCTCTAATAACATTTGTGTTTTTTGCCTGAGAGAACATTTGATGGAAATGGATGAATCAATTAGAAAATAATAAATAATGTGGAAAGGTTTGATCCAAGAAAATCTAGGCTCCTCTGTGTTTTTTTTTTCTCCTCCCATGAATTGTTTCCTTTTTTACCACAGGCCTGGATGAGCTTGGAAATTAGGTTGCTGTAAGAGCTGGACACATCAAGATTTGTACTTGGCCTTGTCCTGGTAGTATGATTTCTGAACCACTGTTCCTCCATCTGTAATATGAGGATAAATGATAGAATAGCTAAGCATGCTCTGAGGGTTTTCTACATATTCTAAACCCTTTACACAGCCATTATTAACCTTCTAATCCTCTGAACAACTCTATGTGTCAGGTACTTTTATCACCCTTATACCATGTAAAAAGCAACTGGGGCACAGGAAGTTCAACGAAATGCTTACTGTGGCCCAAACATCAAGAGGAAATGCCATATTCAAACCTTAGACTCTAACTTGGGAATGAGCCAGCTTACCCACTTTTCTGCAGTGCTTCAAATGCTGAGCAGACACAAGACCACATGGGTACCTAACACAGGGGCTGGCATTCAGGAAGTTCCTAATAAATGTTGGATTTCTCTATTCTCTTTCCCCCTCTCTGATTAGGACTCCTCATGTGGGTTCTTAAGAGAAAGAAAGGCTCAGTACTGGGCCTCCACATTTGGGATCGAGTTGTGTAGCCATCCCTGGAAGAATCAGCTTAACCTGGACATGTCTGCAATCTCCCCCAACTTTATGTCTCTAATGCAAGTTAACATTTTTGTTAAATGTCATAAAAATTATGTTAACATTTGGTCTCATGGTCTTGGGGCTCTCCATGACATTGGTCTCCAAAAGAACACTGTAGGTATCTGTCCTACCCTATTCATATTGGGGTAGCGATATCAGTGTGCAACCTACATAAATATTCTGTGGATAACCAGGCAGTTGTTAACTAATCCCAGTGTATTGATAGGAAAACTGAAGCATCATAATGAGGAATTGTTGAAGCTGAAATTGGGACGTAAATGTCTTGAGTAGACAAGTGCAGAAATGATAAAGGGGTGGGAGTGTGGTGGGAATCAGGGGAGTCTTCCTGGAGTAATGATACCAGAATGGACTCAAATTTGTTTACCAGAGGACAAAGTGCTAAGCAGAGTCTCAGTAGAGGAAAGAGTATGAAAGGATATTGCATCACATTGAATATAGGAAATCCTGCCTATTCCCAGAGGAAAGTCCTAAAGAGGCTGCACAGAGATGACATTGAAGAACAGGCACATTCTTGTAGGTCATGTTTGGAGGGAACTTAAGAGTTTACTCTTTTATAAATGGGGAAGCCCTTTTGTTACTACAAGAGGGAAAGTAAAGGGTACCATTGCTAATGGATACTTCTTATATGTCTTGTAAGGGAGAATTCCTAGGGAGAAAGAGTAGAAAACACTGCTAACTAGCTGTGTGACCTTAGCAAGGTGTGAAGACTCGCTAAAACTATTTCTGTTTCCTCCTCCAGAAAGTGTAAATACAAATACTACCTCCCTACTTGTTAATAAAAAAGAAATAGACATAATCATGTGAAGTCCAGCCCCATAGAAGAACCCAACAAACATGAAATGTCATTATTCATTGACTTTATCTCATCTACTGCATCAACTTGCCTACAACTTGCTTATTTATGATTTTATTCATTGATTCATGTCTAAACTTACTCAAGAATTATTGCCAGTTTCTCACAAGGACCCATAATATTTTAACAAAACAGCAACAAAATAGGGGCTGAAGTAAGCATGACAGAGGAGCAAGGTGCCTCTCTATTTAGAAAATGAACTGGTGAATAATATGCCCTTGTCTGATCCAAATCACAGGGCAGTGGCTCACATTTAGTGTTTTTGTTCTGATGAGAGACTCATATTTCTCAAGGCTCTGTCTATCTATCTCCCTCTCTCTCTATCTCTTTCTCTCCCCCCTCCATACCCACACACACACACACACACACAGAGAGAGAGAGAGAAAGAGAGAGGTAATTAATTCATTCTGGAGATATGTCAGCCTACAATAGCAGCAACCCCAAATGCAATATCCCTCTCTGATCTATTTTACAGTTTAAGAAATAGTCTTAAAGAAAGCAGGATTATCTATGGGAAACAGCATGATGCCTGAAAGGAAAAAAGGATAGACTTCCAAGTTAGCCAATATTAGCCTTGAACTCCAATTCTGCAACTTTAAGCCACCTACTTAATAACACTGGGACACCTGTACTCATCTGGACAACAGAGTAAATGCCTCTTGCCTGGTTAATGTAGTCAGGCAAAGTAGTGCTTCTACTTCAGCTCTGTATTCTCCAAATAGGTAGTCCAAGGTACCCATAATTAATGAATGAAAGAAGAGCCTAAGGCTATAATACATGATATTTTTCCGTGGTCTGTGTTCTTGATCTATATTCATGTTTTGTGGCCCTGTCAATATAGAAATATCCTAAGGTGTACAAATGTTAACTATGGATAAATTGTTCTTCAAAACTGAAAACCCACTATTTATAAACTGAGCAATATTGAAAAGTCTCTTAAAATCAAAAGGACTTAATTCTCTTGCCTGTAAAATGGGATTATTTTACTTACAACATTATCAGGGGAATACAATAAAGTGCTATTTAGAAAGAGGTTTGCAAAATGTCTGTCACATAATGGTAGCTCTTAATTATCTGGGGAATGGCATACCTATTATTTGAACAGTACTTTTGGGGGATGATGATAATAGCAAGGTCTCTTTCTATTTTAGAGCTTATCTGGATGTTAATGAGCTGAAGAACATTCTGAAATTGGATGGATCAACACATCTCAATATTTTCTTTGCAAATTCCTCAGAGGAAGAATTGGCAGGAGTAGCAACTTGGCCATGGGACAAGGAAGCCTTAATGCACTTGGGTAAGTCTTAGGAACTCCTTCAGGAGGAAATTGAAATAGAATAGAAATAAACTTAGTAGTAATGATGATCATCACCATCCTCATAGTGGGGGTGGGGTGAACAGCCCATGTATTCGTCACTTTTTAGCGGACAGAACTGTAGCACTCCTTTCTCATTTTGATCACCAGGCTATTTTCTGAAGGAATTAGCACCATAATATTAACATTTTTTTTAACCAATTGGAAAGCTGAGACACAGAGAAGAACTGAGGCTTATTCAAAATCACATATAAGTCAGTGGAAGAGCTACACTGGAATTCAAATTTTTAAATCTCATTGATTGCTTTCTCCTTATACCCCTTGTCTCCCAGTTCATGCAAATATCATCTCAGCCTGGTAACCACACTGTGTTGGTGTAACCAGTCATGAGCTGGCTTGAAAGACATCAAAGACACAAGAGAGAGTTTATTTGTAAGAACCCCTTGCTCCTGTAGGTTCCACCCAATGACAACACCAGGAACTCTTCTTACACTCAAATTATATATATCCATAAACGAGACGTAAGTTTATGCAAACCAATCACCAAAGGTCGGAAATGACAACAGTTTCTGAACTAGAGTCTCCAAACAAGCAGTGTAGTTCTTTAATTTTGATTTTTCCATGCTCTCCTCCAGTCCATGTCTATATGTAGACAGGGATGTTTTTACTTGTGCATATTTTAAATCATAACATAGATGTAATTTTGTGTTCTCTTTTCACTTACTATTATGTTATCTCATTTTTCCATGTCACAGAAGTCTTATAATTACTTCCCATGCAGTTTTTTCCACTTGAAATCACAAGAGAAAACCATCCCTCTGGGTTATTTCCTCCTCTCTAAAGAGGAGATTTTTAATAACCACATAATACTCCATTGAACCAGGGCTCCACAATTCACTTAACCATTCTCCTCTTGGTGTAATGTTCTCATTATTTACAACAATGAATACTGATGACTCAGTGAGCATCTTCATCTAGAATGCTAGTGCTCAGCAAAGTGTCAGTGCTGAATGTACTGTCAGGGTCTGCCTGGTCCAGACTTCAGTGTTTGCTCTAAATCTATGGTATCTTGGAGAAAAGAGGTTCTGCATTTTCCAGTAATAGAAGTCATGCTGAGTCAAACCAGAGACTTTGTTCCTCCAAACTGCTCTCATTTCTCACTTGTTTTTAGGGAATGAAAACAATTGTTGTACGTGTTTGTGTGCTTTTATAAAGCTAAATACAAAGATAAACATCCAATTGTTCTCAAGTGAAGGATTCTGTTCTTTAGGAGGCATTTACCAATGTCTAGAGACATTTTTTGTTGTTACAGATGGGGGAATGCTACTGGCATCTAGTGGATAGAAGCCAGCGATGCTGCTGAATGTTCTGTATGGACACAGCAAAGAATTTTGCTGAAGTTGGGAAATGCTAACATAGATGATGGATGAGTAGACAGAGAGACTCAGACAGACAGGCGTTGGGCAAAATAGAGTGTGCAACTCAGACAAACTTGAAGATGAGGGCTTGTGTCACACGGGAATCACCCCACACCAAAGCCCAAAAACATGGGAGTGCTCAGCTGTGACTTTACTTAGGAGCATGGCTCCTGGAAAGTCTCTTTTTCCACTTAGCTCCCAGCTTCCTCAAAATAAGCAGGTTTGACTAGATGGTCTCCTAGGATCCTTCTCTGTTCTGAAATTCTATCCTATTGGAAAAGCAACCAAAAATACCATGATCAGAGTCTGAGAAGTGTTGAACAGCAGGTTTCCAAAATTAGAAAAAAATACTCCTGATAATTCCATGAATTTCACGGACTGGCTGAGGGCCAGGAATATAGGAGGCTATAAATCCATAGCATGTTATAGTATTTCAGGATGATGTCAGGCTCAAGCTATTTCATCTTGTAAGAGAAACAGTGAACAGGACTCTGGTGCAGAGTTGCCATTCTGTGGAAAGCGGTGAGATAGGAAGGGATGAGGTAAAACAAACAGGACCAGCCTGCACATTAAGTCTGGAATCTTAACATCATCCCTGAAATGGGGATACAACAGGGTCCTGCCCCCTGTTACTTCAGTGTGGAAGCTTCCTGGAGAGACAGAGAATCACTGACACTATTGTAGCTCCTTATTTTAGAGTATGCCATAGATGCAAAGTCCATGTTCCAAGATTACAGGACCAATATGAAGCAGAAAGAGAATCACAACCCATGTCAGGCTTGCTGAAGCTGACCTCCTGGCTGTCTCCTCCCCATCCTGAACGATGTTGATCATAAGCAATTCTTCTGCAGTAGCCCCAGTCGAACCCAATTTATTAGAACCATATTTTTTACCTTTCTTTTCTATGTTACACCATGATCCCTGGAAAAAGCCTTGGGTGGAAAGGGGATTATGTTTCATATTATGATTGACAGAAAATAATTGAGAAAGATTTCCTGTCTCAACTTTTCTTCCTCCCTCCCTCTGCCTGCCTCTTCTCATATCCACACATTCTCTCTCTCTCTCTCTCTCTCTCTCTCTCTCTCATACATCTTATCTTTGTGTTAGAAGATTTTTAGTAATTCAGAATTAATAGATTTTGTGACCCCCTTGACTGAGCAAGCTCACTACCCTGTCTGTGCAGTGAATGATAAAAGTCCCCCCCCCAACACCTGTTCTGGGCAAGCCAGTCCAAATCAACAAGGCCCAATATCCTCATGATTCCTTTATAAGTAGCTACTCTGCACTCTAAGTCCCTGTTTGCAAGGTTCTCACATCTGAGTTGTAACCTTTCCTTAAAAGTTTGTATTTTAAGGGCGCTGCGTTCTAGTCCCAGTTGCTCCTCTTCCAGTCCAGTCTGTGGTGTGACCCGGGAGGGCAGTGGAGGATGGCCCAAGTGTTTGGGCCCCTACACCCGAATGGAGACCAGGAAGAAGCACCTGGCTCTTGGTTTCAGATCGGCGCAGTACTGGCCATAGCGGCCATTTGGGAAGTGAACCAGCGGAAGGAAGACTTTTCTCTCTGTCTCTCTCTCTCTCACTGCCTATAACTCTATCTGTCAAATTAAAAAAAAAGTTTGCATTTTAAAATTTAACTGTCTTCTCCTAGCCTGCATGTCTTTCTGTTGCCCAAGTGAACATGGAACAAATATTACCCATTGATTCAGCTAAAATCTATTCCATCCAATTCTTCAAGTTAATCAATGCCCCATTTTCTTGGATGTACAGGACCATTGCTTCTCAAATGAGAATGTATCAAAAAAGTCATTCAAGGCTCTTAATAAAATAGTTCATGATTCTCTAGGCCTGGGGAAGGGCCTGAGATTCTGCATTTGTACTCAGAGTTACCAGGTGATGTTTATGCCGTTTGTTCTTGGGTGGATAGGGTGGTATTCCAACTGCTTAGTTAGACCTCACAAACTCTTTAGATGAGTCAGCATTCAGCAAATATTCATCACATGCTTAATGAAGTACTATACTCTGGTCCCTGTGATAGGAATTAGCAGTAGAACACAGATTGCGAGCCCTGGCTTTGGAATCCAAAGATCTTGGTCTGAAATTCTAGTTCTACACTTAACTCTTCAGCATAGATATTTTGCCTCTCTGTGAATCAGAGCCTCTCCCATTGAGTTTTGAGCTGATAACAGTGATTTTATCCATAAAATACTCAGCACACAGTTTGAGGATACATAGCAATTACTCAGGAAGCCCTAGCTCACAGGATCACTGTTAAAATGGTAAGCACACGATGGTGTTGGCCTTCAAACATGTTCACAAAGATGAAAAAATAGGATATAGAACTCACTAAATGTCATGGAATTAGTGGGGGGAAAGTAAGAACTGGAACCAAGGTGCCTGAGCTCTGGGGCTTCATTTAAACAAGAACATGCAAAGCCTGCCTTGCTTTCTAAAGAAATGATCACAGCAGAAATGCTTACTCCCCAGAAATCTGAGTCCCTGGATCCTAATGTCTCTTCTTTTAAATAGTTGGAAATTATCATGGGTAAGTGGCTTTACTTATTTAAACATGGGTATTTTAATCTGAAAAATGAAGGGATTGCACAAAATGACTTTTGAAACTCCTTTCTGCACTGATAATCCTTGATTTTATGTCACAGGTTATAATAGCCTTCAGGGAAGTGAAGTGATAGAGAAGAGATATCTTTTGATTTTTGGGCACCACTCCTTCATCCTTAACTGATTTGGGGATTCTTATACGAGGAACCCGAATGCCCAGCTTACCTAACACTCTGATTTTCCTCTTGCAGGTGGCATTGTCTTGAACCCATCTTTCTATGGCATTCCTGGGCACACCAATACCATGATCCATGAGATCGGGCACAGTTTGGGTCTCTACCACATCTTCCGAGGCATTTCAGAAATCCAGTCTTGCAGTGACCCCTGCATGGAGACAGAGCCCTCTTTCGAGACCGGAGACCTCTGCAATGACACCAACCCAGCTCCCAAACACAAGTTCTGTGGTGACCCTGGGCCAGAGAATGACACCTGTGGCTTTCATAGCTTCTTCAACACTCCTTACAACAACTTCATGAGCTACGCAGGTAGGGCTCTACACTCCATAGAGTGCCTGGCACTGGATGCCTGTTGTGGGCTGCAGTCCTGATTCATAGTAGTCTTGAGTAAGCTGCTTACTTTTTCTAACACTGGTCCTAAATATTCAGAATATTATTCCTTCCACGGGAACCTGAGGAGTTCAGGGAAGATGTTTTTCTCTCAAAACTCCTCAGAAAAACAAACTTTAAGAAAATGACGGGCCAGCGCCGTGGCTCAATAGGCTAATCCTCCACCTAGCGGCGCCGGCACACCAGGTTCTAGTCCCAGTTGGGGTGCCGGATTCTGTCCCGGTTGCCCCTCTTCCAGGCCAGCTCTCTGCTGTGGCCCGGGAATGCAGTGGAGGATGGCCCAAGTCCTTGGGCCCTGCACCCCATGGGAGACCAGGAGAAGCACCTGGCTCCTGTCTTCGGATCAGTGCAGTGTGCCGGCCGCGGCGGCCATTGGAGGGTAAACCAACGGCAAAGGAAGACCTTTCTCTCTGTCTCTCTCTCTCAGTCCATTCTGCCTGTAAAAAAAAATAAATAAATAAATAAAAAATAAAAAGAAAGAAAATGGCTGTGATCCAGAAATCCCAGGTAGAAGATCACACTCTGCTACTGGGGCCCCTAATACTTCTGAATCGTTCCCTCCCTGGGTCACTTTTCACAAGAAAATTGAATGTGTGGACTTGATCTCCCAGTTTAGGTTCTTTCTAGTTTTACAGCTGTATTTTTATAAGCTGGTGATTATTGAACCATTTTTAATTTAACTTACGTGTCCTTTACATAAATGTGAAATCGTCATCCTCTCCTTTGCAGCTTTTTTTTTTTTTTCACAAAAAAACAAAATAATGCTTTGGTATTGCAAATAATAGAAAATTATTACATGATATTGGATATGTTTTTTCCCTAACTGTGTATATCTTATTATAGCCTTTTTATACCATTAGTAACTGTGAAGGGCTCTTTCTCTGGGCTCTAGGATTTCCTGCTCTTCTTTAAAACATGATACTCAAGGCCACTTTTTGCCCTGTTAGCACTTTGAAAAACTAAATCAAAACTCTCCTTTCTCAAACTAGTTAAAGATCTCTCCACTGGCCAGTTTAGTCAAGAGTCCTTGTGTAAGGCACACAAGAAACAATTGCAGGTGGTGGTCCAGCATCAAATCCTATTTCAATAACTTACTTTTCCCCACTGAGAACTAGCAAACTGCGTGAAAGTAGAGATTGCATCTAATACATTATTACATGCATATTCCCAGAACCTAGCAAAGGGCATGTTTCTCCCTATATGTCTATTAGGAAGGTGAAAGGAAAGAAAGGAGGGGAGAAAGAGAGGGAGAAAAAAGAATAAATTCTCATTACAGGAATATACAATTGATTCTTATCAATAACACTTTTTCCGCCACAGAACAATTTATTGACTATAAAGGACTTAAATATGCTCCATCTTATTTACTTCTCACTAAATCTATGAGATCTGTGCTATCCCTATTTTATAGATAAAAACTCTGAGACTACTGACGTCATTTGCCACAGTTCAGAAATCTGACTCCTAGAAGTTTCTTTTCTTCTCTTATGCCATTCTTCAGAAGAGAACTAGCTGTTGATTGCATGGGGAAAATGACCAACATGGATGGAGTCTGCACTCAGAGCCTTCGTGGCTGTGAGAGCGGATTCCAGGCACCCATTCTTGCAGGAACCAGAAAAGTTCCCTTCCAGCTGTTTTGGCTTTCTGATGGGGTTTTGCCTCCACTGCATTTTGTTACTGAAACTCAAAAGATTTGATGATCCTTGGGGTTCTTGCTTCCTATTTGGACTGATGACTTCTGGGGCTTCTCCAGGATAGGGTTCACACAGCCCATACTTGACACTTCTTGAAAGGTCATAAACCCAGCTCTGGTACCAGAAAGTCTTTATGTTTGGATCTCTAAAAAAAGACCAGGGTGCTGGGTATTTCCTCAAATGCAGATTCCCACTGGGCTTCCATTCCCAGCCAGTGCTGACACTCACATCCGGTGCTCCATCCCCTCAAACAGCCCTGCTTACGTTCCATTTCTATAGCACCTTTCCTTGGCCAGCTCAACACACATGGAAAATAAACAATAACATGAGTTTGGACGTTTGCCGGCCTCTTAGGGGCCTAGAAGCTGCCACTAGCTACCAGACCCCCATAAACTAAAAGTTTTTTTTTGTTCCTCTTTGTACAGATCTAAGAGGTGATTGATTTACTGTTGTTTTTTTAAAGGAACCCCTCAGCTCAGTGACCCATTAACAGCAGAACTAATTCACTGAGCTACGATAACAAACTTACACCCGCAAAAGCATATTCAAGGCAACCATGAGCTTTGAAATGTTTGTTTTCCTTAGGATCTCTGATAGATGAGGTGACAAAAGCAGCTGGATGAAATCCAAGATGCACAACAGAACTGGGTTCTCAGGACTAGAGAGAGCCATGCGTTGGGGCTCCCTCCATCAGGAAAAGAGGGTGGAGATATTGCTTGGCCAACTTCCTCCTGTTGCTTTTCCTTCCTGGATGCGTCTTCCTTGAGCCTGTCACTAGTTGCATAAAAGGTCTAGTTAGTGTAGCCCTGTCCAATAGAACTTGCTCAAATATGACCATAGTCTGTGTCTGTGTTGTCCAGTAGCATAGCTACTAGCCAAATGTGGCTATTGAGCAACTAGTGTGACTGAGACCTTAAATTATTTTAACTTTTTCATTTTAATTTATGTGGCTTTCTCCTTACTGGTTAGTGCTTGCCTACAGTAATTCTTGGATGATTTTTACATGCCTGGCCCTGTGTGGAACTCTTCCTCAGCTTCTCTCATTGAATCTTCTAATTAATCTAAAGAGATAAGAGTTACAGATGCAGAAAGTATGGTTCAGATAGCTCAAGTAACTTGTCTGAGGATACACATACAAATCAAGACAAAGATGAGACTTAAAACCAAGTCTTTCTTACTGCAGAGTCTGTGTTATTAACCAATGCCTTTCCAGTTCTGGGAAGACTAAGAAAAGGTGAGCGTTCAATTTAAGCAGGCATCAGACAAATGATGGGGGCAAGCAGAGGCCAGCAGGCCAGAGAAAGCACCAGAGAGCATGCAGTGCTGTGCTGTTGGCTATGCCCTTGGCATGTAGTCAGGCAGCAAGTCCGACTCCACTTCCTGAAGAGCACAGTCCATAAGGACTCCTCAGGGGGGACCCTTCAGTCAGGGCCTCCTAAAGAATGCAGGAAACTGATCATCTTTCTGTGTTCTTGGCATATTCTAGTGTTCTGCAGTGAGTATATGTAACTCTCATAATCATTTATCATTACCATTATCAATATTTTAAAAAGCAACAAAAAGAGACTTTTACAAAACGTCACTTAGTTTTCATGGGTTAGAAACATGAATTAGGTTGGTAGTTGTAGTCATCGGATTTCTAAGGCAAGTAACATCATTATTCCTCATTTTACAGTGGGTGAAAATGAGGCTGTTAGAGATCAGCTTGTTGCCCAAGGTGCTATTGGGAGTGGAAGCAGTGTTGCATGTCTTAACCTCTGTGCAAGGTGGCTTTCCAGCTACAGGTGGCGACTTGTTCTTGAAAACAAAGTCCAGATAGCAAGTTCGGGGCACTGATCAACAGCATGGGCTCCTCCCCTTGCTCCCAGTGAACTGCACAAAGTCCTTTCCACTTAGGAACAAGATGGGGACAGAGGAATGAGATGAGTTGGCTGATTGTGGAGACAGGAAGAAGCAGTCAGCTATCAAGAGGAGGCAATTGTGGTCGGCGCCACGGCTCACTTGTCTCTGCCTGCGGCGCGGCACCCTGGGTTCTAGTCCCGGTTGGGGCGCTGGATTCCGTCCCGGTTGCTCCACTTCCAGTCCAGCTCTCTGCTGTGGCCCGGGAGGGCAGTGGAGGATGGCCCAAGTGCTTGGGTCCCTGCAACTGCATGGGAGACCAAGAGGAAGTACCTGGCTCCTGGCTTCTGATCAGTGCAGCGTGTCGGCCGTGGCAGCTATTTGGGGGGGTGAACCAACAGAAAAAGGAAGACCTTTCTGTCTGTCTCTCCCTCTCTCTCACTCTCTCACTCTGCCTGTCAAAAAAAAAAAAAAAAAAAAAGGAGGCAATTGGAGGCAGGAAGCCAAGTGGGGCCGACTCTAGACATTAGCTAATTGAGACAGAGCATTTGTGATACGTGGAAATCATTTGGGATTTCACCTAAGATTCTGATAGCAGCTGAGTCTCTAGGAGATGTGCTCTGGAACAGACATTTTCTGACTTTAATCTTTCAAGTTCAAATTCATTTCTGATCACCTAATAAATTCTATCACCTGTCAGTTTTCCGATATTTTTAATGACAAAATTTTCTCAGGAGAAAAAAGAACAAATATGTCAGAAGTTTGTAGAGGAAAAAGCCTTGCCGTTCATAACCTTGTTCATCTTGATAAATGCTTTATGTGACCCAGCTCATTGAATCTCCACAACTCTATTGGTTAGATTTTATATAAATGTCCCCCAATTTATACATGAGGGAGCTAAGTCTTAAAGTTAAGTCATTTCTAAGTAATATCCAATTCTTTTGTATTTACAACCATCCCCTGGTTAATGGATGGCTGTATTATTTCTAACATTTTTACTATGACGAGGGATATTTCAAGAAACATCCTTCACATATATTTTTCCCTGTATTTGTCCATGAGCAGCTATTGAATCCTTGAATGTGGTATTAGTAGACCAAAAAGAATGCGAGAGAGAGAGAGAGAGAGAGGTCTTCCATCCACTGGTTCACTCCCCAAATGGCCATAAGGGCTGGAGCTGGGCCAATCTGAAGCCAGGAGCCAGCAGCCAGGAGCTGCTTCCTGTAGGTGCAGGGCCCGAAGCACTTGGGCAATCCTCTATTGCTTTCCCAGGTACATTAGCAGGGAGCTGAATTAGAAATGCAGCAGCCGGGACTCAAACCAGCACCCATATGGGATGTCAGCACTGCAGGAGGCAGCTTTACTCAGTACGCCACAACATCGGCCCCAGACATTGTTCTTGATACGTGCCTTCATTTCAGCCCCATTCTTAGATAAGCACTCTTGTTATTATCATCATCTCCACTTTACAGATAAGGAAACTGAGGCACTGATGGCATAAAACCACCTCCAGATCGCGTGTGCACTAACTTAATCATAGGGCAATACTTTCTTTCTTAGCCATCATATCCCTCTCCTGCATCTATTCCATGGCTCTTTCAGGCTTTCAGGGGTGAAGTGCAAAGTTCATATCAACAATGAGATATTTACCTGATGATCTGACCATTCTCAGACTGAGGTGTTTGGACTACAGGCAATGCAGAGCCACAGAATATTTGGTATTCAAGGAGTTACATTGTGCATCTGGGCTTGAGAGAGATTTACTTGATTAGTCACTCTTATGCAGTGCTTGTTAAGGGACATCAGGCTCTTCTGCTTCCTGCAGACATAGTAAAGACTTTCCCCAGGGAGCTGTAATGGAGGCTGTCAAAAGTTACTAACGGGATCTGAGGCAGCTTCTGTGTAGCAATCTCTTGCACCCTCCTTCCTTCCCTAAGCTGGATTCTCAAGGTTGTATCCAACCATCCAGCACCTGCCCAAACTTTTTTTCTATTTGATAAAGAGAAGCAGATTTGTGCTGCAGGATTCCCAGTAGTGGGTTTATTTTAAGATCTGGCAAGCCCTGAGCTCGTCTGTCTGGAGCCTAGTTGAAGAAACCCTGACCAGGAGGACACCTCCAAAAAGAGGTGTTTTGGGAATCCAAGCCAAAATGTGCCTTTCCCTATCCCTGGGGAAGCTGATAAAACAGTTGGAGGGAGAAATAGGAGGTCAGCTTCTACCCTGGGAGCCAAGTCAAGAGGGGATAGGACTGAAGATCACTGGATCAGAAAACACCTGAGATTGTGTACTGAGCCCCCTCAGATTCAAGTGGAATTCCCATTTTTCAACACCTGTGGGAGCCTTTATCCATCCAAGGTCTCATTTGTGCTCACAGGGAAGTTCTCTTCTTGATTAGAATTGCTGTCGTGGCATCATCACAGCCTAGGTTAAAGTCCAGGGCACTGGATCAGTACCCTTAGCTCTGTGATCTTGGCAAAGCCACCCCACCTCCACGAGCTTGTTTACTCCTCTATAAGATGGGGGAAATAGTAGCATGCATTCCACAAATAACAGGTGGAGAGAGATTTAAATGTGATCAGGGCATGTTCCAATCTGTCTTGCTTGTACTAAGCACTTGGTGAATGTCTCAATGACAGTGCAGTGTGGGGAATGTTACTTCTCATCCTGCTATCAAGTACCTTGAGGTTGGATTGCTCCGGGGTCTGCCTGAGCCTCTGACTTGCACGGTCTGTATAGGACACTGTGTCTCTGGTTGCAGAGCTCCTTCTCTCCGATCCCACAACTGCCTTTCCCAGTCTTAGCTGTGTAATCTGGTTGACCTCAAGTACCTCCATCTTTGAAAGCCTTTTTGGTTCACACTCCTTTTCCTCACATACTTTCTCTCTCCATTCATCAGTGTTGGACTTCACAGACTTCAGCAGACTTGGAACAACCTTAATTCAGAATGAGCTGGCCTCGACTTCATAACTAGAAATAGCTTTTCAAGGGTATGGACTTGTTAAATTTTATTCTTCTACATCACTCGGCACATAGCAGAGAATATGTAGTAGACATGCAGAAGGCTTTTTTGAAGGGCAGCATTGCCACATTGGTGAAAAGGGGAATTAATGAATGAGAGGGTGAATCAATGTGAAAAAATGAGTTAGGGGATCAGTGAGGCTGTAAATGAATAAATGGGCAGGTAAACAGTTGAATGAATGAGAGAGAGCTATCAAGTGGTTGGTGAAGGAGGGAAGCAGTAAAGGAATTGTTGATTTAGTGAACAATGGATTGGAGCCCATGGAAGGCAGCTGTCTTGACATTATCTTTAGCCATGACCTCTGGGCTACCCTCTCCACAGTCTCAGGCATAATTTTCCAGTTCTATGCACCCTCTCCTTCCTCCTGTCTCCTCTCACCTGTCTCCACAAGTGATGACTACACTAATTTGTTCACAGACCATTAACTCCTGAGCACTGGAACAGGCAGCCTTGGGTTGGCAAGGAAGGGCTGAGGTGCTGGTGCTCAGCTGTTGGAAGACGTCATCATTCTCTCACATGCCCGCCCGAGCACGAGCTCCTTGCTTATCTCTCCCTCTGCCTGCTTGCAGATGACGACTGTACGGACTCCTTCACGCCCAATCAAGTCGCCAGAATGCACTGCTACTTGGACCTGGTGTACCAGGGCTGGCAGCCCTCCAGGAAGCCGGCGCCTGTTGCCCTTGCACCCCAGGTTGTGGGCCACACTACAGACTCTGTGACGCTGGAGTGGTTCCCACCCATCGACGGCCGCTTCTTTGAAAGGTGAGTGTGTCCTATGAAGTGTTGATTCCGTCCCTTTCTCTCCTGCCAACAAGAGGGAAACTTGGCCGGGAAGCAACCTTGGAAAGGGTTTATGCAGTGTTTCTTGTTCTTGCTCAGTTCTTGTTCTTATCACTCAGCACAGTAGCTTGTATATATAGGAACCTTGCAAATATTGATGCAGGGACTAAATGAATGTTTGCCAATTACAAATGAATAATGATTGATACATATTTTTAATGATTGGATGTTTAGATTTGCTTTTTTATTAGAAATTTGGAAACTCTATTACTAGAAATTGCTGAAATGGAGGTACTGTTCTCATCTTTAAGAGCTCAGAAGTTGAAATTGTCTCTGGTTAGTGAGCAGCAACCTTCCTATTTTTTTGTATATAATTAAGATTATTTATGTAAAGGTATACATGTGCATATAGTTCTATACTTGTAGATGCATACACATATATAAGGATACTTCAAAGGCTTATAGGAAATGCATTTAATAATAAGTTTATTTTAGTGTGCTAAATTTTGAAATACATGCACATCAGAGTTCTTCAAAAACTTGATGAGAAATGAGTACTATAGAAAAGTATTCATAGCTTTCCAAAAAATTTTTACACCAAAATACAATTTTTACTTCCATTTTTTTCCATACATGTTTGAAGCATCCTCATATATACAATATATAATCACAGTCATGACTGTGCCTAGTGTTTCTTTGTAGAATTGAAGGTAGAAGACAAGGGAATGATAACTAAAGCACAAGGTACCTCAATTCTGCTCCCCTGCCTGTCACTAATTAGTTATATTACCTCAGGCAGCTTGCTTTCCCTCCCTGTGTCTTATTCTTCTCCCCTGAAAAGTAAATTTAATGATACCACAGTGGCTTAAAGGTGGAAACCTGAATTACATGATCTTTTATGGGACCTTTCAGCAAGAAGACTCCTCAGGGAACTCAAACTTTCAGGGGATCATGAAGAAAGAACAAGGTGTCTACATCTATTGTGGAGCTTTGATATAATTCAGGAAAGACCAGTCTAGCCTTTCATGGGGACATTTCATTCAGTAACAGTGACAGAACATTGATGACGTTGAAAATAAAAACCATGCTAATAACTAATTAGTGGTACTCTCTTGTGGTTGCTGCTGTGGATCAAGTGCTTGCTATGTGGATGAATTGTGTAAATGTGCAGAGCCTTGTTTAATCTTTTCACTAACCCTGTCAAAAAGGGATTGCCTCCCTCATCTTCCAGAAAAGGAGGAAAGTGGAGCTGAAAGTGGCTAAGAGATTTGACCCAAAGCCCAAAGAAAGTGGTAGAGGCTAGGCTCCAACTGATATTCAGGAATGTCTGGTCTCAGAATCTCACATGCTTTCATTAAGCTGTTCCAGAACTAGAGTTACAAGGGAGGTGTTACACCTCCTCCCAAAAGTGCCACAAAAAGATGACAAGGAGCTCTAATTACAAGTGTGTGTGTGTGTGTGACCGTATTAGTGTGTATGTGTTAAAACATTTAGACAGAGGACAAAAACAGACACTTCTTTTTTTTTAGAAAACTTTTATTTAATAAATATAAATTTCGAAAGTACAACTTTTGGATTATAGCGGTTTTTCCCCCATAACCACCCTCCCACAGGCCAAGCATCCCATATCCTATTCCTTCTCCCTCCCCATTTTTCATTAAGGTTCGTTTTTAATTATCTTTATATACAGAAGATCAACTTAGTATATACTAAGTAAAGATTTCAAAAGATTGCACCCACACAGACATACAAAGTATAAAGTATTGTTTGAATACTAGTTTTACTGTTAATTTGCATAGTACAACACATTAAGGACAGAGAAAGGCCAACAAGTATATAAAAAAAAGTTCAACATCACTAATTATCATGAAAATGCAAATGAAAACCACATTGAGATGTTACTTCACACTTGCTAGAATGAACATTATCAAAAGGATAAAGATAAGTGTTGACGAGGATGAGGAGCAAAAGGGAACAGTGGTGCACTGTTGGTGGAAATGTCAATTAATAAAGCCAGCATGGAAAACAGTATGGAGAGCCCTCAGAAAACTAAAACTAGACTTACTATATGATCCAGAGAGTTCACTTTTATGTATATATCCAAAGGAATTGAAATTGCATGCCAAAGAGACATCTTCACTCCCATGTTCACTGTGGATTTGTTCACAGCAGGTAAGATGTAGAAAATACCTAGGTATCTAACCACCAGATGAATGGATGAGGACAGTGTGATATATACACACAATGGAATACTATTTGGCCTTATAAAAAGGGGAAATCCTCTTGTTTGAAACCAAATGAGTGAACCCAGAGAACACTGCTAAATTAAATCAGCTAGGCACAGAAAGAAAAATATCACATGATCTCTTTCATATATGAAGTCCAGAGTAGTTAAATCATTGGAATAGTGGGTAAAATGAGAGCTACAAGAGGCTGAGGGAGGTAGATGGCAAAAGGCAAGATGTTAATCTAAGAATAGAAAGTCTCATTTAGACAGGGAGTATAAGCTTTAGTGATCTATTGAATAGAAGGTCAGTATAACAAATTATAATGAGAGACTGCCACGGTGGTGTAGTTGGTAAAGCCACCCCCTGCCATGTCAGTGTCCCATATGGGTGCCAGTTCAAGACCTGGCTGCACCCTTTGCAGTCCAGCTCCCTGCTAATGTGCCTGGGAAAGCAGCAGAAGATGCTCCAAGTGCTTGGGTCCCTGCATTGACATGGGAGACCTGGAAGAGGCTCCAGGCTCTGGTCTTCAGCCTGGCATAGTTCCGGCTGTTGCAGCCATTTGGAGAGCGAACAAGCACATGGAAGACCATTCTCGCTCACTCTCTCTCTCCCTGAGTATTTCAGGCATGGAAAGCCAAGACACTCTTTCTGTAACTCTTTCAAATAAATAAACTTTAAAAAATAAAAATAGTGTATCATATAGTTCCAAATTGCTTAGGAAGTAGATTTTAAATGTTTCATCACAACAAAAATAAGTATGAGAGGTGACAAATTTGTTAATTAGCTGGATTTAATCCTTTCACATTGCAATCATGTATCAAAATGTCACAATGTATCCCATAAATACATAAAAATATTGTATTCCATTAAAAATGAAAAATTTTAAATTTTCATAAAGCATAGTAGATCATGGTTTCACCTTAAATCTGGACTCTAATTTTCCACATTACCCTCGGTCCTAGAATCTAGAACCTCCATCTGGCATCTGGATCAACCTGATCACTGAGGAGGAAATGCACTCCCGAGTCTCTCTGTAGAAACTCCCCTCCCCTGCCCAAGCCACCCTCACTGTGAGCTCAGAGCTCAGTTTGGGAAACCTCATGTGACACTTCAGAGCAGGCTTTCCAGCAGCCTGTGGGTTTATTTATTTTTTCTGTGGTGATGAGAAGTATCAGACTTTTGGTCAAGCCTTGGCCTCAATTCCACTTAAAAATGGAAGTTTTTAAAATGAAGCTTCCTGTGTATGTATTCAATTTGTATTTCATAAAGCAGTTATTGTCCATTAAATAGATACCATCTGATTGTTGGAAACCTATTGGAGGGTTAATTGTTGTGTAATGAGATATGTCTCTATTACATAGTGCTCTCAGCTTCAATCAATATGTTTTTAATAACTTATAGTCAGTTAGTACTTTAGGCTCATACAATAGCTATTCTGTTCAGTCTAAGATTTCATAATGGAGTTATCATATGTTAAATTAAAACTGACATTTTTGAAACATGTCTAATTAGGGTTAACAGCTATATAGACCATAGTCTATAACTAGAGGAAGCCAGTGCACAAGTTCAATAAACTGTTGTAAAGAAATAGAGCAACATTTTATGTATATCACTCTTCCACGCACATGGATTTTATATTCCTGCAAATTGGCTTAATATAACGTGTGCAAGCTTTGATGTTGGACATCCATTTTCCATTCTCAGTTTTATAACTTGAGTTGATGGGATCTTAGCCCAGCCATCTCACCTTTCTGACCCTCTAAGTCTTCTTTCATGTAAAGGTGTTAATTATGCCCCACTGGGTTTGTGGGGAATTCAACAAAATAACATCTGTAATAAGCCAAGCACACAGGCTATATGTTCACGAAATATTCTCTCCCATTTTTGCAATGTTTTCCAGAGCTTTATAGCTACTTGAAAATTCCCTTTCCCTGAAAAACCTCTAGTGTTTTCCACTACATCCATCAATGCCAACATCTTGCCCCTGGCCATGCTCATGTCCTCCTGCTGTTCTCACATCTGTGGTCTAAGAGAATACAAGGGTTTCCCTTAAAAAAACATATTCAGATCCTCCCACAGCCTGTATCTTCACACATGGGCAACTGAATAAATAATTCAAGGCCACCCCTGGTTTTTCTAACTTCTTTATTTTTATCAGCCTTGCAAACATGTGTTGACTGGATGGTTTCAGTTATCTGAACAAGTAGCTATGGAGTATTATTGTCAAGAGTATTGGACTGTGAACCAAGACCTGGGTCTGAAATCTTTGTGACCTTATCAATTCCCTCTTTCTCTTGGACCTCAATTTTCCAAAACTTTTTCAACCAAAGTCCCTTTTCCAAATTCCAGAACACTGAAAATGATTTGAGTGACTGTTTTCTCAATTCTCTTAAAGATGGTACATATACTATTCTATTTGCATAGGACAGAAGGTAATATATGCTGCACAGTGGATGCCTTAGCAGCACTGTCCAATTGGATTTTCTCAACAGTAGAAATATCCTATATCTGTACTGTCCAAGATGGTAGCCACTTGCCAACTGTGGCTGCAGAGCACTTAAAAAGAGACAACATATGTGATATGTGTTAGGAACCAAATGTTTAAGTTTATTTAATTCTAATTATTTTACATTTAAATAGTTACATATGGATGAAAGCTACCATATTGGACAGTGCAGACTTCAAATTTTAAACTGAGTAAGAAAGATAATCTCTCCTAGCATTAGAATTCTGTGTGTCTATGATTTCATTGTGTGCGTGTATATGTGTGTTACATACAAGTGCCCATGAAAATGAAATAAATACCGAAGGTAGGAAACACATATTATACATTCCCAGGATGTACAACATACAACACATTTGCTGTCAAGTGGATAAAGATTTGTCCATTCATCAAAGTGTTTACTGGGATTATTTATTTGCTCATTAATGAAGTATTTACTAAAAATGTCAGGAGTTTTGTGCAGCTCAGGTGACTTCATGTCTTGTCACTCAAAACAAAACATTGAAAGGAAGCATAAAGAATTACACTGTGGCTATTAAGGTCAGTGTGGTTCCTAAATCCATCGTGACAGTTGTAATCTCATTGTTATTACAAAGCTGGTCATGAGGCTCAGAGCTGCAGTTCTGGGATTGTGTTCTTTGGAAAAGATCTCTTCCCACAACAGCAGTGCTAAGGAAATCTCTTTCTGTCCAGGATGACCTACCTACAAGAATATTTGTGTAATTATTAATAACTTCAGTAGTAACTCATATTTATTTAAAATATGTAGAAAATTCAGAAAACCAGGAAAAGTAAACATAGAGAGTAAAATCAATTACCAAAGGTTCCACCTCTCAGAAATCATTGCCAATAATATTTCATCACTAAAGTTATTTGGTCAACATTGAGATATTGTTATATACTCAGTGTTTAATATTACTTTTTAAACAATGTTATAGCTTACATTTTTTCCATGAAGTTGTATAATGTTTATTATTATTTTTTGTGATAACTGCTTACCACTCCAGGAAGCAGTTTAATTATTCTCATACCATTGAGTGTTAGTGCTCTTGCAAATTTTTATATGTGTATGCTTTCACATTTACAATGATAAGGCTAATGATGCAAAATCTGCAATTAAAAGGTCTGGACTAGGTTAGTCATGGATATTACCAATGTGTCTGAGTGACAGTTATTCATTCATTGTCCACCCACCTAATCAACCATCTATCCATCCATTCATCCAGTGATAGATACTGACCAACACTATGAAACAGGGTATGTGTTGGACCCTAAGAGAAAAGAAAGCATCATAAGACACGGACATTGTCTTTAAAAATCTCACAATCTGTGGACAGAAACTCACCTGTGTACAGAAAAGAGTCTTTGTAGAGGAAATAATTTCCAAAATGTACCTGGAAGGATGAGAAACATCAAACAGGTGAAAATTGTGGAAGATGAGGTTAACATAACACACCACAATCATTAGATATAGCCCAGAGTGAAGAGAACCAAAACTGGCATGACAAGAGGGATACTTTACAAGTCCTGTGAATGCCATGTCACAGGACATTAGGGGCTAGAGCCACTACAGCAGGTCAGCAGGGCATGGCCTATTCAGACAGAGGTTTGATCATTTCCTGCAGCTGTGCGGAAGGAGAGTGGGACATATCAGCATATTTTGATAGTAGGCATGCTTATGAGCATGCTTATCCTGACCATGTGAGCTCAGAGGCATAAGAAAGCTCCCCTTTAAGGATAGACTCCTGAGATTTGAGATTGGAGTCCTCTGCCTTCAGATAGCCAAAGCATATAGATTCTTCTAGGAATCATTCATAATGTTTCAACAGGGTCATTACATTCTTGTGAAATCATGGTTTGGGATTGGGACCTTTCTTGACACCTTCTCATGATTAATTTTCCAGTCCTCCTGCAAAGATTGCTCAGATTTGCAGAGTTTGGGGTTCCACATTAGTACAGGAGAAAAGGACTCATCACTCTCCCTTACCCACAACTGCCTCCTAAGCAGATGCCAAATCCAGAGAACAAGTAGGATCCCAGATGCTGTTATGGCCAAGGGGAGATTGAATCCAGATACACAAGACAGAAGGGGAAGCCATCATAATATTCCGCTTCTGGGGCTGGCCCCATTGAGGGATTGGCTAACCCCTTGGAAAGCTGCTAAAATGAATTAGATGGCATGGTAAGGAAACTGCTTTTGACTGTTAAAATTAAGGACTGACTCATCTATCCCCAGAATGTCAGGACTGGGCGGTTCCTTAGGCATCATCTAATCCAGCCCACTCATTTTCAGATGAAAGAGATGTGCCTTCTTCATAGTCAATGCCTAGGATACAGAATGGCACCCAGCTCTTAGTATCCATCTGATCAATATTGCTAAAGGAGAAGATAAAAATGGGGTAAACAGTTTGTTCACAACCACTTAGTGGAATTTTTCATGTGTGGTGAAATTTAAACTATTGCAGGTGGTAAGTCTTTGACCTGTTGTTCCCGTGCTGCTTGAAATCAGAGAAATGTGTACCATCAGAGCAAAAGATGCTTAGGCATGGGCCATGTCCTTGTTGAGCAACGGGGAAGAATTTCACCTACAGACGTGTTTCAGAAGGCTTGGCATGTGGAGGGAGGAGATGGGCCACTGTAGCAGATGCCAGTGCCTACTCCTGTCAATTGCTCATTCAACTGTTCCTAAGTCGGTGCGTGTTCCCTCTTTCCTTGGCCTCCTAGAGAATTGGGATCAGCATGTGACCTGTGCCTGGAAGGGAGAATCTTGGTGCAGTATGCTTTCAACGCCTCCTCCCCGATGCCCTGTGGCCCCTCGGGACACTGGAGCCCTCGGGAAGCAGAAGGTAAGCTGGTCTTCTGGAAGCACTTTCCCAGGTTGCATGTGCAGAGGAACCACTCTTTCAGTGTCTCTGGAGTTTTATGATGTTTACTTGTCTTTCCCACATACCACCTCCATTGATCTAAAGAGTACTCTGGAAGGATAATGTTCGCGCAGTCATTTGAAAGATTTGTTTTCAGCAATTGCACTGTGCTGGGCATGTTACTCCCACACAAAGAAAGGCAACTAATATCCATTAAGTACCCAAAGCCTCTCCTGGTAAGGACACAGTGTGTAAGGGTGCATGTAACCTCCAGACCACAGCTAGAGTCCACTTAGGCAACTTGAATCTCCAAACCATCAGTAGTCTTTGATTCTTCTTTAGTTATTCCTGAGCCTATCCACGGCACTCATATGTATCACACTAATCCTTTCATTTCTTCCATGCATGTTCCTTTTTAATATCCATTTACCTGCAAGACACTTGAGGAAAGCACCTCACAGTAGTCATTTTGTGGACTCTATCCACAATCATACCTTTCTCTGTCTAGAGGGTGTCTACCAGCGCCCCCAAGAAGCCAACAATCCTGTGCTTCCTGCAGCATTATTGTTTTCTGTAGCAATTAAGAGATCACCTTTTGCTAAATGCTTATTGTTGTACTTTATCAGTTGGTCCTGAAGCCAGATGAACAAGCACCCTAAGCCTTGTCTTTCATCCTCTCTCCACTGGCCCTAGGAGACATACACGTATACTGTGCCCTTGCCCAGTGCTTTTTCTCCTGTGCAGGTCTGCTCATGCCCACAGTCACTGGATGAGGACACTGTTACACTAGCTAACTGGAGAGAGTGGAATCAGTCCCCTCACTGAGCATCAGAGTGAACTCTGCTATCCTCTATATTTTTAGAAAGAAGGTTAGAGAGAAAAAGGCCAGAGATAGACTAAAGTAAGGAAGAGAGATCAGAGGGGAAAGTGAATTTGAAAAATGATAGTACTGTACTTTATTTTCTAACGTAGCTTAAAATAAAAATGAGAGTCAAACTTGGGAACTCTAAACAAATCCATCTGGAATGTAAAGCGAGAGGGATGTCTGGGAGAAACCCTCAATTCGGCCTCACAGGATCACAGGCTGTCAGACTTGGAAGGAATGCCTAGGGTCAGGCAGCCCCAGGTCACACCCAGGGCAGGAATCCCCTCTATGCACTTCCTCACTGAGGTGTCCTGGCACCCTGTTCCATCGCCATTGTTTAGAAAGTTCTTCCTGAGGTTTGCAATCATAATTTTTCCACCCAAACTGGATCTGCTTTCAGTTTTCATAAAAGAAATCTGTCTCTTCCACCTGACAACACCTTGCACACTTAAATAGAGTAAGCTCATCTCATCTGTGACCCCCTGTAGGGACTATGTGCTGGGCACTTTCCTGGAGATGCAAGGCCATCTGGTAGGCCCTTGTGGATAAATAAATGAACAGTTGTCTTTCAGTATGAAGAGACACAATTGAATAGAAGTATAGTGTGTTGGGGATCAGTAGAAAAAGGATCCCTCTCCTAACTGCAGACTCTGGCTTCCCACAAAATGTCTCAACATCAGTGAGCAAGGTGCTTTTCAGAATGTGAGAAGACTTTAATATGTTTACAGCAGTGGCTTTCTAATTATGATCCAGAAAATAATGGGGCTTCTTGAGGGTTTTTCAACCTATCCTTAATGTCAAAATAATTTTCATAATATTAAGTGGATACTTCAATTGTTAGTGGAAAACAGAATTAAAAAATAAGTTTAGGGACCAGCATTGTGGCACAGCAGGTTAAGCCATTGCCTACAATTCCAACATGCCATATTGATTACAGCACACCAAGATTTCAAGCCCCAACTATTCTGCTTCTATCCAGCTCCCTATGCCTGAGAAGTCAGTGGATGATAGCCCTCATGTCTGAGCCCTTGCCACCAATGTAGGAGACCAGGATGGAGTTTCTGGTTCCTGGCTTCAGCCTGGGTCAGATACAGTCTTAAATATTGTGGCCATTTGGGGAGTAAACCAGTGGATGGGAGATCTCTCCTTCTTCTCTCTCTCTCCCTTTCAAATAAATTATTTTTAAATGATTAGTTTATGGGGAGGATGTTGTTAAGACACCACTTGGGATGCCCATATCCTGTACTGGAGTTCCTGGGTTTGGTCCCTGGCTCTGCTACTAATCTTAACTTCCGGCTAATACAAACCCTGGGAGGCAGCAGGTGATGGCTCATGTGGAAGACCTGAATTGAATTTTGAGGTCCCAGTTTCAACCTGGTTCAGCCCTGAATGTTTAAAACATTTGGAGAGTGAACCTGCAGATAAGAGAGACATTCATTCATTTTCTCCCTCTCTCTCAAGTAAGTAAATAAAAAATTTTAAAAAGCAAAGATAAGTTTATTTGGGTGCCCCAAATTTTGAAATCTCTGCATAGTATTTTCACAATACAAATTTTCAAAAACCTTTTTGAAAACCCCTCAAATGTAATTTCTAAAATTTTTGTACCAGCATAAATGTATCTTTTAATTCAAGTTTTCCATGAACTTTTTGAGGTAGCCTCATAATGTGAGATCATTTGCCCTTTTCCCCCTCATTCTCTCCTGAGAGTACAGTGGAGTTTCCCATTGGGTGTATGACGTGTGATGTTAATGCTCTGGTAGCTAACAGATCACACTCTTATTTATTCTTGAAGTTTAAAATTTCTTTGTTTTAGTTGTGGTTGCAATTTACATATTTAGTTTACAATTCACATATTGTAACAATTGGGGTACAGTATATTAACTACCAGTAGATACAGCTTCACTAAGCATAAACTACTCAATAATGTTGTACAAGTTTAAATGGGTTTAGAACATGAAGATGGAAGTGGCAAAGGTTGGACAGGTGAGGTGGATAATGACCAGGTGAGTGTGGATTTGGATTTATGCTGAATGTAGTGGGAAGACGTCATGTGCTTGGTGGGGGTATGGTATATGATAAGATGTGGTTGTTATAGAGATTACATGAACTTTTCTGTAGAAAAGAGATTGGGCAGGTGGATACTAATGGAAAAGCAGCAGCCAGGTAACTGTTGCCATAATCCAGGTGAAGGATGGTGGTGGCCTGGGTGAGATCAGAGTAAGAAGAAGGGAGGGGACTTGGTAGATCTGAGTTACATTTGGAAGGTAGAGGAAGGTAGGACTTCTGCTTGAGAATTCTCTGGCTAAAATCTTCTTGGTTTGTTCTGTCATTTGTTTGAATGACCTAATTTCCAGACATTTCCCAATACCTTCGTCTATCCCAATGCCAGTTGGTGAAGTCTGTTCCTGATTTGTCCCTGACCCTCTTAAAGTACAATATGCAGTATGGAGTTCAATGAGAGTCACTGAGCCCATACTCTGGGATGACTCAGGCATGCCAAGGATATCCACCCACCCCGGGTTTCCCTCCTATGTAAACTGAGCACACAGAGGCCAGGAAAAGACACTGTTCTTTTTTTGGAGCATCCTATTACAGACTCTGTGATCCTTTTGGCTCAGACCCTTTTAATATCCTTGAAGAAATAAACTTTTCCATGAACCAAACTCTGAAATTTATTTCTCAACTCATTTTCATCCTATTTATCTTTGTGTGTTTAAGTTGTTGGACTTCCCAAACTAACATAAAACTCCCAACTTCATGAGCGATGCCAGACGTGTCTGTGGGGTTGGGGAAAGAGCACAGTGTGGGGTGGGGCAGATGAGTACAATTGGACCTCCATCCCAGAACTGCCATCAGTTGACTCTGTGCCCTTGCCCAAGGTGCTCAACCTCTCTAAAGATGGCATCTAATCCACAAAATGAACACTAGAAACATTATCCTTCCTAGCCTGTTCTTCCATGGAGCCATAACTTCTTTTTGCAACTCCATATTTACAAGATAGAATATTCTTCATTTAACGCATGTTTATTGGACATCCACTATGTTTCATTAACTTGATTTCAAAAAAGAACTCCTTGCCTTTGCTCACATGAAGCAGTATGCTCTTATCTGTTGAGCAAAAATGAGATTTCAAAGGATTATAACCTGGATTATGAGTATAGCGTAATCCAGGTTAGATAGCTGAATCCGACCACCTCAAACCCCAGTTTAGAACATGTATGCAAGCATATATTATATTTCAATTGTTGGGTTTTCTATGAGAGATTACCACATGGCACTAGCTGTTTTCATTTTCTTTTATTTGTATGAGTGTCTTCTCCATTTTCCTGCCCAGAATACTTCAGGTGTGCTGAAACATTTATATGGAAAAAAGCTTGGCACAAAATTTCAGAACCATATTCAAGTCAATAGCTGCAATGTATACACATGTAGATACATGATAGCTGTCCATATAGATCTTCATAAATGTAAATTAGATTAACATAAGAATGTCTAAATCTATTTCTGCACACATATAAAACTATCTGCTTGCTGATCATATAAAACTAAATGCTTCATGAGATCTGAGACCTTGTCTGGGAACCTGTTTCCTAGGGAATTGGCTCAACTGTGGACACAGATCTGCAATTCAATAAATAGCCTTTGAATGCATGGATGGATGAATGGATGAATTGGTGGATGGATCAGTGGATAGATGGATAGGTAGATGAATAGATAGATTGATGATATCTATCTGTCTTGGAACAGTGATTTTTCTAAAAGACAAATCTATGCCATTTATTTGCCAGAAAATCTTCAGTAGCTCTCCAACTATCTCAGTACAAAGTTCAGTTTCCTAGGGGCCAGTGCTGTGGCACAGTGGGTTAAAGCCCTGGTCTGAAGCACTGGCATCCCATATGGGCACCAATTCTAGTCCTAGCTTCTCCATTTCCGATCAAGCTCTCTGCTATAGCCTGGGAAAACAGTAGAAGATGGCCCAAGTCCTTGGGCCCCTGCACCCAAGTGGGAGACCTGGAAGAAGTTCCTGGCTTCAGATTAGCATAGCTCCAGCCGTTGCGGCCATCTGAGGAGTGAACCAGTGGATGGAAGACATCTCTCTCTCTCTCTCTCTCTACCTCTCTCTGTAACTCTGTCTTTCAAATAAATAAAATAAATCTGTTTTAAAAAGGTTCAGTTTCCTTACTTTCATAGAAGATACTTCATAATCTTCTAAGCCCCAGTGTTTGATGGGCTCCCACTACCCTCAAAACCATCTTAACCCACCTTCTCTCTCAACTGTTCTTTTCACTTGAAATGCCTCCTACTAAAATTTTCCTTGTTAATCCTTCTTACTTTTTGAAACAGAGCTAATATATTTGTGAAAATCCATTAGAGATTTCATCTCATTTTCATTTTACAGCGACACTATGAGGTAGGTAACATTACAGTAGATGACATAATGAGAAGCTGTATGGCTGACATTTTAACCCAACTTTCATTGCTTCAAAGCCTGGCACACTGCCTGGACTAACAGTATCACATAATATTCTACTCCCCACCAGGGAATTACTTAACCATCCGAGTCTCAGTTTCCTCTTCTGTAAAATGAGTTTCATAAGACCTGCATCATAGACTAACTGCCAGGATAAAAAGAGCTGAGGCATGTAATGTGCTTGGCACACTGCCTGCACATAAAGAGTGGTCAGTTCATGAAGCCTGCTGCTATAAAGGGACTGCTGCTTTGGTAATGGGCTGCACTCAATGACCTCTGGAGGTCTTTCTGTGTCTAAGAGTTATCTCTAATAACCAGATATGTACAGCTTTGCTAAGATTTCTGCTGCTGTTTACTGACTTCAGTGTATTGGCCAGACTCACCTTCCTGTCCTCTGGAAAGGGTTTGATCTCTCTGTTGATTAACAAGAAACCAGGGAGCAAGGATGAGCCAAACAGATTTTTCATTTTTGCTGTCCTGTGGCTTCTCACTACTGACAATCATTTTCTCCAAGGAAGAGAGAAAGATGGGTTTCTTCATTGCCAACTTCAGGAGAAAGTCCATGAGGGATAAAGTGTTCACCTGGCACCAGCCATCAGGTGTCAGGCTCCAATATCCCAGGCTATAACTACTTTTTCAATTCTGTGGTAACAAGATAGAAATTCCTTCATTTAACAAGTAATTATTGGGTTTCTACTATGTGCAATCTTTATAGACTAGGCATTGTATTAGGTAAAGGCCATATAACATTGTGTGAAACAGAGTTCTGAATTAGCAACAAAAATGATTAACTGTCTTACAAGATTTTGCTGACAATCAGGTGGGTTAACTAATGATTCAAGAATATGCGTCATATACTGTAAAGTGCTCCACTCAGTTGCTGAATAAATATAAGTGATACATGTGTACAGCAACCTACAAAGAGGGTTGGAACTCAGTGGATGGAGAGTAGATGTCTAGGTGAGGACTCTTATTTGTATTGTTTACTTAAAATGAGGATCAGGTTGAGCCAGCAGTTGCTGTCAGTGTTGAATGAAATTACCCAAGAAGGAGTGGAGGAATCTTGTGATTATATCCATCTCTCCTATTCTGACATATACCTAAAAAGTCTGGGAAATTCCTCCTTACCACCTCCTTTTTTTTTTTTTTTCTTTTTCTATTCTCTATCTTCTTTAGGTGGCTTCTCTATTCTCCCTTGCTTGGCTGGGCAAAAGTATGGAGCTTAGAGGCATTTACAGTCTTCAGTGGAATGGGTTTTCCTCTCCAATGGCTTTCTAGTGTTCCTGTTACCTTGTTAACATTACCATGATGCATTTACAAAGATAGCTTTTTCCTTTACACATGTCCCGCTTGCCCCCTGCCAATCACTGATTATGAAGAAGAAAAGCATGAGGCTAATGACACAACTTGAGCTTCTCCAACCTACCCTCACTAGATGAGCTGAGTCTCTCCCTAGACTCCTTTAAACACATTGGAGCCAACTACTACATGGCATCCTAATTACTTTTCTATGCAGTGCAAGAGAGAGCTTTTTGAGGGACTGAATGTGATCTCAGCAGAGAAAAATTCAGAAGTCACTTAAGGCTGAGATCAGTAGGGAAGAGGCATCATCTCCCTGGGGACAGACTGAAAGAATCCCTCCTTCTTTCTCCCTGCTCCTTACCCAGCCCTCCCCTTCCTGAATCAGACTGGACAGAGCACGGAGAAGCTCGGTGGTACGCAGTGACATCATGTAGGGAAGGGGAGGAGGAGAGAGAGATAAGATGGCTCCAGAGCTGCTCTTCCAGCTTTGCCTCTCATGATTCAGTTTCCTTCCAGATCCTCCGTACAAGGGCACTGCTAACCATGCTCACCTCCTCTTTGTCAGAGGTTTACTAGTGCTTCTGTCAGTCTAAGCAGGTTGCACCAGCAAAAATACCACAAGATTTCTAATTTATGTTTGTGGCTATTGCATCCAATGGGATTAAGAACAAAAAGTAGAGATTTCAGAATCAGAAAAAAGTGGGTTCTAAGGCAACCTTTACACTTCAAAACTGCCTGACTTTGATCAATTCATTCTATATTTCTCAAGCTTTCATCTTCTCCTCTGTAAAATAAGTTCTTGCAAGAATTAAAAACAAGTTCATGGGATATGGGGAATGCTTAGCAGGTCCAAAGGGCTTCAAAAAGTTTGTAGAAAAATTGAATTAAAAGATAATGCAAATTTTCCATAAACTTTTTTATGGTCTATATTGCTTCCTTCTTAACATTTTTCACAACCAAATCTTCGAATGGAAGATGAGTAAGGAAAGGTTCACCATCAACTCAAAAGCAAGACACTTAGTTGAATGTAGTTTTGACAAAATGTCTTGTGATTTATCTGAGGTCTTGGTGCTGTGTATGCAACAAAATCTCTAAGACAATGAGAATGCCCCTGCCCTTTTCCCTTCTAAGTTCTCATTAGACCAATCTCTTCTGATGTTTGTAGGAAACTCTGAGAATCAGATGAAGGTGTTTCCTCGAAATCCTTTCCATGCTCACTCCCTCTCTTTTCCACAGGTCATCCAGATGTTGAACAGCCCTGTAAGTCCAGTGTCCGCACTTGGAGCCCAAATTCAGCTGTCAACCCACACACAGTCCCTCCAGCCTGCCCTGAGCCACAAGGCTGCTACCTCGAGCTGGAATTCCGCTACCCTTTGGTCCCTGAGTCTCTGACCATCTGGGTGACCTTTGTCTCCTCTGACTGGGACTCTAGTGGAGCTGTCAATGATATTAAACTATTGACAGTCAGTGGGAAGAACATCTCGTTGGGCCCTCAGAACATCTTCTGCGACATCCCACTGACCATCAGACTCCAAGATGTGGGTGAAAAGGTGTATGGCATCCAGATCTACACACTGGATGAGCACCTGGAGATTGATGCAGCTATGTTGACCTCAGTTGCAGACTGTCCACTCTGCCTAGAGTGCAAGCTCCTGCAGTATAAGGTGGTCCGAGACCCTCCTCTCCAAGTGGACAAGGCCTCAAGCTTCTACTTCAACAGGAGATTTGTGGACACGTAAGTGGACTCTCTGGGTATGGTGATGATGAATTGGGTGATCTGGGGAGGCTGTTGCGGGGGTCAGAAGGGCCTGGACTGGAAAGAGAAGGTTCAACACCCCCAAATTTACTCCTAGGGATTTTAGCTCAGTTTTGACTGTAGAATTTTCTTCATTTAAGATGGATTTATTTATTTGAAAGGCAGAGTTACAGATAAAGAGACAGAGAGAGGGAGAGGGAGAGAGAGAGGGAGAGAGAGAGAGAGAGAGAGAGAGATCTTCCATGTGCTGCTTCACTCCCCAGATGGCTGCAATGGCCAGAGTTAGGCCAGTTGGAATCCAGGAACCAGGAGCTTCTTCCATGTCTCCCACATGGTTTCAGGGGCCCAAGCACTTGGAGCATCTTCCACTGCTTTAGCAAACACATTAGCAGGGAACTGGATTGGAAGTGGAGCAACCAATACTCGAACCAGTGCCCATATGGGATGCCAGCATCGCTGGGCGGCTTTGTCTGCTGTGCCACAACACTGGCCCAGAATTTCCTTAATGAAAGCAGAATAAATGAATGATAAGATTTCCATTTTGATTCAGTTGAAGAAGATTCCTGCATGCTGGTTGTGTTTTCAGTGAATGAAAAAGGGATGAAGTTCAGCAGGTTGGCTGGGAATTATGCATGCTCTTAAACATTTGCATGAAAAGTTTGCTGGAAGGTGAACATCACCAGCCACAGTCATTGTTTTTTGTCTTCTTTCCTGAGGCAGAGAAGAAGTTAAAACCCTTTTGAAACTTAGGTGCCTTTTTATCTCTAAGTCTCCTGGAGTCCTTTTGGCTGCATTCTGGTTTTTTGTGAGGTAGTGACTATCTTTAATATTTAATTTCCAAGTCCCTTCTCTATCCCTTTTCCCCAAAACATTGACAGGATTTGTTTCCCAAAGAAGACTACCTTATAATAATTCATGAGTGTCTTTTCCACGTATAATAAAATGGGCTGTCTTTGCATCTTTTACTTACTCCATCCTCTCCACAACCACAGCACTATTATTATTCTCATTTTACAAAGAAGGAAACTGAGGCTTAGAATGTGAAACGTCTAAGATCATGCAGTCTTGATGAGATGAGGTCAGGGTTGGAATTCTGTCCTGAATCCTAAGCCAGAATTCTCAGACAATGTTCAGTTAAAGATGTGATGAAACTTCTGCTTTAATCAAAAAAAATGATGGAGCTTTAGCCAAATAATTTGGATACCAGGAATCTGTGTAGTCAATCATTGAACATTGTCAATGCCTAATATGTGCAAGGGACATCGGTAGAGCTGATCCTTTGTGTCTAGCCCTAACCAGTACACTTACTTACATTAGATAAATCACTTGGTGTCTTTGAGCCTCAATTTTTTCCTCTGCATGGCAAAAATTTTTAAGTCCATGATTTCTATAAGCCTTTTGTGACTCTTTATTTGGTTCTAAGATGATATAAGGCACAATCTCTGCTCTGTCGACTTGAAAATATTTACTAAGCCCATCATTAATGGAAACCAAGTTCTGGAGGAAACTTTTAATCTTTTTAAGAGACAGAACCACTTTCAAACACTTTACCAGCACTTCCTTTTACATGCCAGCAATTAATGTGCACATCACAAGCAAAGTCTTGCCCATTCATTGAATCAGAGATGAAGAACATCTGTTTAAGAACTCAAAAGGAGCACTTGGTTTGTGTTTGAGAATGTACTTAAAATTTAAAGGATCATCTTGCCTTGAAAATATTCCATAACCCTGTCTCTTCCGTCTCCTCACTTGTCTAAAGTGGTAACATTCTATAAATATGCATCTACTTAAATTTTCTTCATAAAACAATGGAGAGAAGAAATAATAGTTGTTTTAAAACCTCTGTTTAAACACAGCTTTCATTTTGTGAAAGTTGTTGGTCTGTGAGAGCTGACATGGTTTGATAAATGTAGAATGATGGAAATTAAGCTGACTTTCAAGCCAATGAGTAACAAATGCCCTGAGCCTTATTCTCAGCTAAGGTAGTCACTTTCTCTGTGATCTTAAGTGATTCACTTACCCTTTCTGGTCTTCAAATGTCTCAACTCTATAAGAATGAAATTACACTAGGGTAGGGGTTCTCATACTCAATTATACACTACAGAAACTTGGAACAGTTTAAAGTGGCCCAAATCTGAAGTTCACCTCCTCGCTATGCTCCATCCTTCTACCCCCAGGTATTGATTTAAATTGGTAAGAAGAAGGCCTGATCACCAGGACTTGTACAATCTTACCAAGTGATTATAGTGTACAACCAAAATTCAAGAACTGCTGCCCTAAAACCAGCCTGAATCAGAAACTGTGAGTGCAGGTCCTCTCCTGATAATTCTGCCATTGGCTAAGGCTTAGTAGCCACTGCTGTACATGATGTCTAAAGCACAGGCATCTCTAAGGTCTTTCACTCATCTATCAAGTAACTCAATTTACAAGTATGCCCTGAGAACATTCTATATGTCAGAGTCTGCACTAGGAACTGAGGATTATAAAGATGATCCAGTCAACTCCCTTACCTAAAAGTTCTCAACTTTGGCTAAAGACATTACCCACTTGGGAGAAATGCAAAATACTATGCCAGTTTGCTTACAAAATCATTGCTATTCAGGTCCATATTTTGTGCACCATTTTTTCTTTCATTTACCCAACAAATATGTCTTTAGTCCCTACAAGTGCTAGACTGGAGCATTAATTTACTTTCGTCTTTGTTTCTTGAATCCCAAGAAGATTATTGGAGACTTGGCCTGAGCTGAGCTGGGCTGGGGTTCCTGCTCTGAATGTCCTCGGAGGCTCTGAAAAAGGGAAAAACATCATTCTAAGTCAACCTACCATTTCAACTTCTTTATCTCCTGGTATTTTGAGTTCTGAACCCCACCACAAGTAGTGCTGTGTGTGTGTGTGTGTGTGTGTGTGTGTTTTCTGCTTTCACATTTTTTCCATATCAAATAAGTTGGCTCCTATACAAGTTCTATATAAAGACTGTTTTGGAGGAAAAAAGGATAGAGGAAAAAATGCTTTCTTTTTCTTGCCTTACTCAACCCATTACATGATTCCCTTTGACCTTAGTCTTCATTTTTTTCTCTCAACAAAAATATTTATTCTTTCTGTTATCTGCACTGGAGATAGTTTCCCAAGGTATGACATTGATGAAGGGAGAGCCTTCTGTGCTTACCCATGGAAGCTTGGAGTAGACTGATTACTTTAGGCCAAGACAAGGAAGAAATGTGGAGTATCTCCATCTCCCTTAAGTGGAAATCCCTCCCATTGAATCAGAACTGACACCTTCAAAAAGAAAGGAGACCAGTTCTCTCATAACTAACGCAACACACGATGTCAAGACATGTCACATCCCCTATTTGGACCTTTATTTCTATAATTGTAACATGAAGGGACAACACATTAAACTCTTCTCTGTTGGTAGACACAGAGGTGTCTTAGATGACACTTGATTTACTTTTTGTCGTAAAATGAATTCAATAGGGATTGTCTAATAAAATCAGTTCCCAAGGAACCCTCACTCCCTCTGGATGCCCTCCGGAAACCTGTAGTCCATGGACATTAACATTAACCCCTGAGGTAGGTGACCATATCTCCAGATTATATATGATGACTTCAAACTCAGAAAAGTGAGGAGAATGACAGAGTTTACACAATATCAAGTGGCAAATCTGGGGTTTGTACCTGGATTCATCACCTCCTAAGTTAGTGTTCTTGTTCATTCATCCTCCAATTAAGTAAGTGCCCACCTTATGCATTTCTCTTAGTCGTATCTTGCAACACTTTGCGTATCCCAACTTGTTATCCTTTTAGTTTGTCTCACTTTCACACCTTGTAGCTACCAACACAATCTCAATCTATTTTACCTTACTTCCTTGGCATCCTCAATAAAATTCTTGGGGGAAGAGGCTGTCATTCCACAGTGGATAAAGCTGTTCCTTTGATGCCTGCATCCCATGTGTGCACCAGCTCATGTTCTGGCTGCTGCACCTCCCATCCAGCTCCCTGATAATGGCATGGAAAAAATAGCAAAAGATGGCCCAGTGTTTGGTCTCCTGCCACCCACATGGGAGACTGGGAAGAAGCATGTGGCTCTTGGCTTTGGCCTGGCCCAGAGCTGGCCATTGAGGCCATCTGGGCTGTGAACCAGTAGATGGAAGATCAATCTGTCTCTCTCTCTCTCCCCATCCCTCCCACCCTCCCTGTTCCTGTGTGTGTGTGTATGTGTCTCTCTCTCTGTGTAACTCTTTCAAAAAATGCTTGGGGAAAATGAAATGTAAGAAAAGGATATATTCATATGCTCTAGATGGACATTCTTGGTGTCCAGATCTTTTCCTCTGGACTGCAAACACGAAGGACCTCATTCAATCAAAAACATCAGTTCATTTGTTCAGCAGATATTTATTGATTCCAACCATGAACCCAACTACTTTTTAGTAATGAGAATGTAGTAATGAACAGAGCAGGAAAAAGTCCTTGTTTTCACTGATTTTTACAATGTAGATGGGGGAGACTAAAATGAAATATGTTAATTGGATAATATGCTCTTTGGGTAGGATTGATATCTGATGCCATATTCAGTCTCAGAGGATTTGGAAAGGTTTACCCAAATCAGGGTCAGCTGAAAGCACAGTTGGCTCTTACCTGCTGTTTCTATGGATCTTAAACTGAGTCACAACTTCATATGTTTTTTCTGAGCCACATTTCTTTTTTGTGGCTTTTTCTATGCCTCCCCCAGTTACCCAGTTTTTCTTCTTGTATATGTAAATTTGTTCATTCACTCATCAACCAAAAAGTGATAATATAATACAAGAATTTTCAGTGATACTTGTTTCTTTTTAACAAGTGTTTGTGCCATGCACTGTGTTGGGACTAGGCATATAGCTCTGATTAATGCAGACGTGATCCCTGGTCTCATAAACACAGTTAAAAGATGGGAAACAGATGAGGAATCAGGTGCTTACACTACAGCATGAGAAGTACCATGG